CTGACCCTTACACTCACATTGCTAAACTCAAAAAACTAGTATTTAGTCATTAGCCAAAAACCCAACTTCCCTCAAAATTTTTAAAAATTTCAAAAAGAAAAAAAACTAAGTATGCCCGAAATCCCTAGCCATGCTAAGCTTTCTAGTGGTAACTCTGTAATCACAATTTTACTACATGAAAACCCAAAACAAAACCAAATTTCTGTAAACCAGCTTTTGTAATCCTTATAGAGAAAAAATTTTTAAATTTTGAATTTGAAAGAACCCCTTGCCAAAACCATCCGTTTCCCTAAAACACTCTCTTCACCCCGAACTTTCCCCCCATCACACAATTTGAAATCTAAAAAATTCTGCCGACAAAATCTCATGACACCCACACAAATCTGCTCCGTGTTCAGCAACTGGCCACTTCGGGAATACTTGAAAAACCTCCCCCTTAAATGTTCTAACGCACAGGTCACACGCGTTGCAAATTTCCCCTTTAAAAAAGACATTCTCCCCCTTTTTCCTAGGCAAGAACCCCCCCTCCCCAACCCTTCCCTGCACCCCCCCCCCCCTTAAAACCCACCCTCCCCTCCCCCCAACCCTGGTTCTCCCACACTTTCTACCTCCCAACTCTAAACACATCAACACCCACAAGATACAAGCATTCCCCTACACCTACCCCCACACTAGACTACAAAACAAACTTCCCTCGCCCTGCGCCCACTCTGCTTGGTAATCTCCAAGCTTATAATGTATTCACATCCTTAAACTATTTTGTCTGCTAAAATCTTCCCTCTTTTTTATCCCTCCTTCCTGCTTCTCCTAAGCCCCCAACCCTCTACTCCCCCTCCCACCCCCCATTTCCTTTCACCCCCCGCTTCTTCTCCCACCCCCTTCACTACTTCTACCCCCCCCCCAAAACTCCCGCTGGCTACGACCCCTCTCCCCCCCACCTCCTTACCCACTTCCCCATCCCCAACCAAAGCTTTCCCCTTTTCCCACCCTTACCCTAGCTTCCACTTTTTCATCCCCTACCAAAACTCCACTTCCTTTCCCACCCTCGCCCACTCCCCACCACAACCAAATTTCATCCAGGGCCAAATCCACCCTCTCCAAACAAAAACCACTCAAACCTAAACCTGCCCCAACCCCTGACAGACAGACCCAAAAAACATAAAAAAATATCCATTCTTCCTCTTTTCCCCCCGAAAACGGGGCAGTAACACCCCAAACACACATCCACTGATGGGACCACTATCACGGGTTTAAACCAAAATCTCCCCCACTTAAATTTGCTGTGACGAACCCTTTAAAAATTTTTTAAAATGATTCAGTTCAAGTACTTCTTACTTTACAAATTTGACACCTACTGACCCAGCTCCTTTAAGCAGAGAGGCCAAATTTTTTGCTAAACAGTACCTGCCCCAAAGCCCCCCCAAAGTATCTGCCCCTTTTGGTTATACGCACTACAGTCCCCCTAGATCCTCAATGGGGTTGCCCCTTGGCAAACCAACATAAAAAACCAATTTTTCCCCCAAACCTTTTATTCACCCCACTGTCTTGCGTCAGAATACACCCCACCTTTGGCCCTTTTTTCTTTTTCACCACCATGCTCCCCAAACATATTCTCAACTACACGACTTTCCCCTTTCTTACACACCAACTTTACCTACTACTGCATAATGCCGAACACCCCCGCCTTTCATAAAACCCAGTAAAAAACCAATTTGGTCCCAATTATCAACTTCACAAACATAAACACCTAATTCATCTGGTCAGACTTCAACCCCCTTTTAAAAACCACAGGGGGCCAAAGGGGCAAACCAACTCATTTGGCAAACCGGCCAGCTTTTCTTTTCAACACTACATCTCACTGGCCCTATTACAGGCTCTGTCCACCGAGTCATCTTACACTCCCCAACCCCTATCCCATCCCACCCCACCCTTCCTTCTCCACAAAATGGGGACTGGTTGTTTTCAAACAACACAGACAAACAAACCCTACCTAACTACAACAACAAACCCCATCTCTGACACGATACTAAACTTGTCTAAACCAGGCCCATTACACAACAGCCAACACCGCAATACCAAAGAAAATCACCCCCACTCGTTTTTCCTTCAAACCCCAATCAGAACAAGAATTAATTATTGCTCCCACAACCGTTTCCCTCTACAACAAAAAGATTTAATCACCCAAAAATTAGATCTCACTTACCTTAGAAACAACATTCTACACAGCCTAGACCAAGCCCAAAAACAATCACGTCACAACCGTACAAAAAGTGGAAAAACAGCGTATTAAAACCAAACCCTTCGGGAATTTTATAAAAAAAAAATCAAGGCACAACCCCACCAAAAAAATTCAAACCATCCCCCAAAACCCACACCATCTCAACCCACGGGCGCTACTAACATCTTCAGACACATCGGGGAGAACTCTTCCCCCCTCCCCACCCGCCCTAACTATTAAACACATTCAGAACATAAACATAAAAACATGCAACACACAAGAAACAACCCCAAATACCCACACCCATCTGGCTCTTTTCCTCCTCCCAAGAACTCGACACCCTTTTTTCCACCAACACAACATTAAAACTCCCTCCAGACCCCTTTCCTCCCAAGGTTTTGGTCCCTCGGGCCAAAACCTATTATCCAAAACACCTTTCCTACTCTACTTTATGCCTACACAAACCTCCTAAAATCCCTCCTTGCCTCTGGATTTTCCCTTCCCTCTTAAAAGTGCTACGCTATCCCCCTTTCCAAACCAAAAAAAACCTCTCTGACCAAAAAACTTCCCCCCTTCAGCCCCCCTCAACTTTGGGAAAACTCTTTGAAAAAAACTCATAAACCCATCCCCTTTCGCAGTCCCCTGGAACACAACCTCTACTTTCTGATGGCCAGTTTGGCTTAGAACACAAAAGCCTTTTTAAAATTTTTCTCAACTCATCCAATAACAAAAAAAAAAAACAGGAAGCCCTGGTTGCAAAAGACGTTAAAAAAGCTTTGACACGGCACGAAGGGAAAGGTACAAACCTGCACTAACTTTAACCTGCCTCTCCTACTCTAAACTCCTTGCAACTTCCTAGACGGGGGTACCATGAGAATCAAATTTCCCAAGGGTTTATTGACTATTCACACTAAATGCTGGAGTACCCCCGGGGTTGTCCTCCCCCTACCATCTACATTTTATACACTACCCACATTCCAACACCTGTATACCACAACTCCCTCACACAGCCTAGCAACGACATTACACAAAATTATCACTAATGCCAATATAGAACATCCACCCAAAACACAAAATGAGGTCGACGGGTAGCCATCTGGGAAAAAAATGGAGATCAAAAACCCAAGCGCAAAATCCAAAATTTCATATTTTTAAATAAGGGAAAAGTGATCCTCCATTACCTGTCGAGCTCGAAAGCTGACACCCGCATTAAAATCCCCATCACAAAAAATCGTCACTGTCCTTGGCGTTAATCTTGACTACCCTTTTTCGCTTTCACGGACAATTCACTCAAGGCATGCAATAGCTAGTAAGGCCCTTTCAGGCCCTAAAGCGAAACATGCCTCTCAAAAGTACCAAAATACGCTCTACAAACCCTAAACTCCTCTGTAACTTTCCTCCCTAGCTCCCCTTTTCTTGCAGCTAAAACAAACTTACTTAAACTGCTGCGTGTCCAAACAAGGGCCTGCGCTGGGGCTTGAGTCAGATGGGAGGGGCTTCGCCACAAGCGAGGCCCCCATGCCCAATTAGACATCCCTGGCCTCAAAACTGTACTGGGGAAAACCTAGTGAAGACAGTGCAAACTTGAGACACGAATGACTACTGGGGCCTGTCTCCTTGATGAAGACTTCGCGACCCACAAACCAAAACAACCTTTTCTACTCCCCTTTTATGATCCTGCTCCAACCCTATTTGCAAAAACCTTGGGTTTCTTTACAGGGACCATTCTTGACCCACGTCCCTTTGTTTTAGGGTTAAAACATGGTTCAATTCACACTCCTCTCTAGCGCTAATTTTGCCCTTTCCCGTCCTCCCTGTCCCCTACCGGGGTCCCAAAAGAAGAGCCCCAATTTCTGTTTTCAATATCGTCCCACGATCGCCCTTTTCTGCTGGTTTTTGCCCTGCTTTTTTTACAAAGAACACTCCTCTCCACACTATTCTTTTCTGCCCTTCCCGCCATCCATTTGGGACTTAAAATGAACTTTCGTTCGTTCGTTTGTTCGTTTCCCTTTTTGTTAGTGTGACTTTGTAAAGGTCCAAGTCGGGCCGAAACGTCGTCGTAAGCTCCCTTTTTTAGTGCAGGGTTTTTGTGTAGTGTACCTTTGGGATAAGCCACATCAGAATTGCTAATATATCCTCCCCTGCCAACAAAGCTTAGTCAACCAAAAATATCTTTGGGGGCTGCGTCTACCTTGTGGAGGGGGTGAGAGCATCCGTAAGTGAAACCTCCAAAATCGAGCACAAGTACAGAGAACAAAAAAGCTTGCCACAACACTTGTGCAAAAACACTTGAACCAAAAATCGTTATTTAAAGGGAGCCAACAGGCAAAACAACCCACTTTTTGAAAACACCTGATCGCCCCAGCCAAAACCGTATCACAAAACTCATGTTCTTTCTCAATCTCAGAAGTACTGGCTAAACTAATTCTGAATGAGACACATTGTTATCTTTCTACTTTAACACAGCCTGGTGGTATAGTGATAGAGCACTGGGATGGAGTGAAGGTGGGATAAAGTTGGGTAAGGTGGGATAAAGTAAGGTAGTGTGAGGTAAGGTAGGATAAAGTAAGGTAGGTTGAAGGTGGGATGAAGTATAGTGGAATGAAGGAGGGATGGAGTAAAGAGAGATGAAGAAGGAGGGTTGGAGTATTATGGGATGGAATACAGAAGGGTGAAGGACATAATATGGAAGGACCAAGAAGGGAGGATTGGAACACAAACAACAAGAAATATAGAGGGATGAGAGCACAGAGGAATGGAGTATAAAACAAGAATCTCTCACCATGAGCCTGGAGCTTCCACAGGAAGTCTAAACGAGAAGTAGCCTCAGTTTGGCGTGCGTGGATGACGAATGCTATGGTGAACCCAACCAGCACCGCCACCGTCACGTACCTCGACACGAACAGCTCACCGTACCTGCAGGTGGTACACGGAGGTCAGGGGTGATACAAATCAAATCAAATCAAGTTTATTCTCTATAAATATTACAGTGCGGGGTTTACATATTATAGGATACAGTGTGGTTTACATATTATAAAATACTAATTACAGAGAGGGCCACTATCACACCTACCAATGGTAGTACAAGGAACAACGTCAGAGTTAACAACAGTAAAAATAGTTACTGGATAGGGGGTATAAGGAAAAGGCAGGTCATTAGGACAGGTATTGAAGTGCAGTGTTTGTTGAAGACAGGTGGTGAAGGGAAGAATGTAAGTGGGCAGATGGTTGCAGCTTGAGTAGTTCAACAGACAGGTGGTATAGTCCTGTTTACCGGCTGATAGTATCATATTAAAACAATGCATTAAATAATCAGTGTGCTTGTCACGGCTACTGAGACGTTTCCATATACGTAATTCCTATTTACATTACCAGCTTGCTTGAGTTTCCCTCATGCTTCTAGTTATTCTGCCTCTTATTGCAGCTTCGAGTTCTGTAGCTACCAATATTTTCACATGTATAGCTGGAGTTGATGTTATTAATATTTCTAGCTAAACAAATGAAGTTACTGTTATCAGTATATCTAACCGAACAGCTGGAGTTACATTAATATTACTAGCCGAACAACTAGAGTTACGTTAATATTACTAGCCGAACAATTGGAGTTACATTCAAATTCAAATTCAAATTCAAAGTTTATTCTCTATAAGGATTACAATGTTGAATTTACAGAATTTGGTTATTGTGTGGTTTACATGTAGTTAAATAATGATTACAGAGTGTACCACTAGAACGCCTAGCATGGCTAGGCATTTCGGGCAGACTTAGTTTAATTCTTTATTTTAAAATATTACAAATTATGAGGTAAGTTCGTATTATGGCTAAGTGACTAAATACTAGTTTGTGAGTTTAGCAATGTGAATGCTTTTGTTTTGGCACAGTACATAGTTTCAGTATTGGAGTATCATAGGATTCATTATTTTAAGATTGAGATTAATATTTCTGTTTATGGTCAAATGGGTGAGTGAGTGTAAGTGTGAACCACCAGGTGATATTCGTGTAGTTAGTTGATGGGGTGTATCAGGGAGATAAGTTGTTTTCTAATGGTAGTTTTGAAGGTGATGAATGTGTCTGCAGTTCTAGAGTTCTCAGGTAGGGTGTTCCAGATTTTAGGGCCTTTAACATACATTGAATTTTTGTAAAGGTTTAGTCGGACACGGGGAATGTCGTAGAGATGTTTGTGTCTGGTGTTATGCCTGTGGGTTCTGTCACAACTATCAAGAAAGCGTTTTAGGTCAAGGTTGATATTGGAGTTTAAGGTCCTGTAGATGTAGATTGCACAGTAGTAAGTGTGGATGTACTGAACAGGGAGTAAGTTAGATATGTGAAGAGTGGGGGGGGTGTGTTGCCAAGGATGGGATTTAGTGATTATTCTTACTGCAGCTTTTTGTTGGGTTATTATTGGCTTTAGGTGTGTTGCTGCAGTTGATCCCCAAGCACAAATAACATAGGTGAGGTATGGATAAATAAGTGAGTGGTATAGTGTGAGAAGGGCATTTTGCGGCACGTAGTATCGTATCTTGGAGAGGATCCCAACCGTTTTGGATACTTTTTTGGTTATGTGTTGGATATGGGTGCTGAAATTCAGGTTGTTGTCAAGGTATAGGCCTAGGAATTTGCCCTCATTATGTCTGGTAATTAAAGTGTTATCGATCTTAATGTTAATTTGTGCATCTCCTGCTCTGCTACCAAACATAATATAGTAGGTTTTGTCAGTGTTAAGCGTAAGTTTATTGGCTGTCATCCAAGTCGATATTTTGATCAGCTCCTCGTTAACAATGGTGTTGAGGGTGGCAAGATTAGGGTGAGAGATGACATAAGTCATGTCGTCAGCAAAGAGAATGGGTTTCAGGTGTTGGGATACATATGGAAGATCATTGATTTATATGAGGAAGAGCAGGGGACCAAGGACACTTCCCTGCAGAACTCCAGTATCAAGTGGCCGTGTTGTTGATGCTGTGTCTTTAATGGTGACATACTGATACCTATTAGTGAGGTAAGATTTGAAATAAGCAAGCGCATGGCCTCTTATACCGTAATGGTCAAGTTTGTGGATTAGGATGTCGTGGTCTACTGTGTCAAAAGCTTTTCTTAGGTCAATAAAAATTCCTAGTGGATATTCCTTATTTTCCAATGCTGTGTAAAGCAGATCTAGCATTTTTATGATTGTGTCATTAGTGCTTTTATTTTTCCTGAATCCAAATTGGCAGGGGTTGAGTATGTTTTGTGCCATTATAAATGAATATAGTCTCCTGTGTACGAGTTTCTCAAAGATTTTGGATAGCAATGGTAAGTTTGATATTGGCCTATAGTTGTTTAAGTCTGTAGGGTCACCACCTTTATGTACTGGTGTAACCCTTGCCATCTTGAGTAGTTTCGGGAAGGTGCTAGTTTCTAGTGACGTTAAAAAGTAATGAAATAGCATGTGAAAGGACATGGGCCGCTCGCTTGTACAGTAATGGTGGGACATGAGACAGATTCCCCGGGTTATTTTTAAGTGACTTTATAATCTCGGTGACTTCCGAGGGCTCAGTTGGTGCAAGATAGAAGGAATTTGGGAAATTCCCATCTAGGTAGTCCCTGGCATGGGCATTGGTATGTGGGATTTTATTGGCGAGATTAGATCCTATGGTAGAGAAGAAGTCGTTTATCTTGTTAGCTGTGTCAGTGGGATGTAGTGGTGTTTCATTAGGTTTAGTTAGGACAATATTCTTGTTTTTTTTTTCAGTTTGTGGGTCCCTAGAATCTGAGAGAGTGTTTTCCAGGTCTTTTTTATATCTCCTCTAGTGTCTGTGAATCTACTGGAGTAGTATAGTTGTTTGGCTTTTTTTATTACTTTGGTGAGAACTGATGAATAGTGTTTAAGAATATCTTTGTGTATTAAGCCCTGTCTATATTGCTTTTCATATTGGTGTTTCTTGTCAATGGATTTCAGAATGGTGCTGGTTAGCCATGGGCAACCAAGCCGTTTGTTTGTGATCTGTTTTGTTTTTATAGGACAATGTTTGTTGTATAGTCTAAGTAATTTGTTAAGAAAAATGTCTGTCCAGTCATCAATACCATTGGCCTTGGAGAATTCTGTAGGCCAGTCAATAGTCTCTAGGTCAGCTGTGAACTTCCTTATTGAGGCCTCATCATGGAGTCTAAATGAGACTTTGTTGTATTCAAGTGGTGGTTTACTAATGTTTGTCAGGAGGAAGGTAGGGTAGTGGTCTGTAGTGCTATCTGTGATTATCCCTGATTTAAGGGGGGCTAGTATATTGGTCCATATGTGGTCTATTATGGTTGCACTTGTCTCAGTGAGCCTGGTTGGTTTAGTTATTGTTGGTATGAGAAGTGTGTTGTTCATATTGTTGATGAAATCAGTGACAGGCTGATCATCTAGTAAGCCAAGGTTGATGTTGAAGTCTCCAGCTAAGAGAAGTGGCGCTTATTCATTTGTCTGTTTGTTATTAGTGACTTTAATTTCTCACTGAAATTTGGGATGTTTGTGTGAGGTATCCGGTAAATGGCACCGATTGTTATAGGTGTCTTAAGGTTTTTTTACAGTAAAATTAGCAAAAATGTATTCCCCATATTCATCACTAAAGCAAGTGGTGCTAATACAAGATAGTTGGTTAGAGTAATAGATTGCAATACCACCCCCAACTTGGTTTGGTCTGCAGTTGTGAATTGCTGTGTATCCTGGTAGAGGGTAGATATCTATTGTGTCCTGCTTAAGCCAGGTCTCAGTAAGAATAATGCAGGAGAAGGGTGTCTTTAGTGATTCAAGGAGTGCAAGGAGGTCATCATAGTGTTTGCTTAAGGACCTGATGTTGTAGTTAAGTACTGATAGACTTTTAGCATTGTTTAGGATAGTGCTGGCTTGTGATGCTGTGTAATAAAGGTAGTTACTTTCCAATAGGTTTTGATTGGGTGTCAGATTATGGAGGTTTATATCAGGGTCAACGTGGTCAATCATCTTCTAGGTTTAAATTATGGTTATTTATATCCTGAGTTGTGTATTGAGTTCTAGTACTGATATCTGTAGTGGTGGGAAGTTTGGACAAGTATATAGCTAGAGTATTTTGGTCATATAGAGTATGGTCACTACTACACATAATGAAGTTGATGTTGTCTATGTGTTGTGCTGGAATGAACTAAAGTACAACTAGGTATAAACTAGTAATATAAAAATACAAATTAAAAATAGAACAAGACTCTCACTTGTAATTGCACTAAGGTCTAATATACTGACTTTTTGTGGCATTTATGGATTTGGAAAAGGCGTATGACAGGGTGGATAGGGGGCAATGTGGCAGATGTTGCAAGTGTATGGTGTAGGAGGTAGGTTACTGAAAGCAGTGAAGAGTTTTTACGAGGATAGTGAGGCTCAAGTTAGAGTATGTAGAAAAGAGGGAAATTTTTTCCCAGTAAAAGTAGGCCTTAGACAAGGATGTGTGATGTCACCGTGGTTGTTTAATATATTTATAGATGGGGTTGTAAGAGAAGTAAATGCGAGGGTCTTGGCAAGAGGCGTGGAGTTAAAAGATAAAGAATCACACACAGGGTGGGAGTTGTCACAGCTGCTCTTTGCTGATGACACTGTGCTCTTGGGAGATTCTGAAGAGAAGCTGCAGAGATTGGTGGATGAATTTGGTAGGGTGTGCAAAAGAAAAAAATTAAAGGTGAATACAGGAAAGAGTAAGGTTATGAGGATAACAAAAAGATTAGGTGATGAAAGATTGAATATCAGATGGAGGGAGAGAGTATGGAGGAGGTGAACGTATTCAGATATTTGGGAGTGGACGTGTCAGCGGATGGGTCTATGAAAGATGAGGTGAATCATAGAATTGATGAGGGAAAAAGAGTGAGTGGTGCACTTAGGAGTCTGTGGAGAACAGAGAACTTTGTCCTTGGAGGCAAAGAGGGAATGTATGAGAGTATAGTTTTAAACAACGCTTTTATATGGGTGTGAAGCATGGGTGATGAATGTTGCAGCGAGGAGAAGGCTGGAGGCAGTGGAGATGTCATGTCTGAGGGCAATGTGTGGTGTGAATATAATGCAGAGAATTCGTATTTTGGGAAAGTTAGGAGGAGGTGCGGGATTACCAAAACTGTTGTCCGGGAGGGCTGAGGAAGGGTTTTGAGGGGGTTTCGGACATGTAGAAGAAGGGAGCGAAACAGAATAACTTCAAGAGTGTATCAGCCCTGTAGTGGAAGGAAGGCGGGGTAGGGGTCGGCCTGGGAAGGTTGGAGGGAGGGGGTAAAGGGGGTTTTTTGTGTGCGAGGGGCTTGACTTCCAGCAGGCATGCTGAGCGTGTTTGATAGGAGTGAATGGAGACAAAATGGTTTTTAATACTTGACGTGCTGTTGGAGGGGTGAGCAAAGAAAACATTTATGAAGGGATTCGGGGGAAAACCCCGGCAGGCCGGACTTGAGTCCTGGAGATGGGAAGTACAGTGCCTGCACTCTGAAGGAGGGGTGTTAATGTTGCAGTTTAAAAACTGTAGTGTAAAGCACCCTTCTGGCAAGACAGTGATGGAGTGAATGAAGGTGACAGTTTTTCTTTTTCGGGCCACCCTGCCTTGGTGGGAATCGGCCAGTGTGATAATAAAAAAAAATAATAATATAATATGTTTTGAGCTAGAATGAGCTATAGTACAACTAGGTTTAACCTAATAATATAAAAATACAAATTAAAAATAGCACCAGTCTCTCACTAGTAATTGTACTATGGTCTAATATAATGAATTTGGTATTGACTATGTATTGAGCTACAATGAGCTATAGTACAACTGAGTTTAATCTAATAATATAAAAAAGGCACAAGACTCTCAATCGTAATTGCACTAAGGTCTTATATAAGTTGTTTACAAGAAATAGAGTATAACTAGATTTAAATTGACAGGATAAAATACACAAGTTAAGGTAGCAAAAGTATAATAAAAAATGATAAAAATAAAAATGGCAATGGCTTGGTTATAATATGCTAGTAAGATGGTAGACAGGATAATAAAAAAAGTTGTAGTTGAAAATACTAGTTTAAAAAAAATATAGAATAAAAATGGTCAATTAAAGAAGTTTACAATAAGTTTGATCAATATAGTTTAAAGGAAAATTGGGCAATAATAGGGATTTTAGAATAAAATTGGGCAATTGAGTCTTTCTTAAAGTGAGGTAGAATTATTGAGGACAAGTTATGGCTAGTTTATAATAAAATAAGATGGAACAGTGATGCGGTAAGTTGTAAAAAAGGAGATAGATTCTGTAGATATTAAACACAATTAAGACTATGAGGTAGAATGGTCGTTGAATACAACATTGACAATCAAAAGTAGTTGGGGTATTAGAATTTTAGGGGGGCACAAATTTATGACAACAACTGGAGTTACATTAATATTTCTAGCCGAACAACTATAGTTACATTAATATTACTAGCCGAACAACTGGAGTTGCATTAATATTTCTAGCCGAACAACTGGAGTTATTATTAATACTGTACTGTGAGCTTTGATGCTCTAATTACCAGTATAAATAATATTATAGTTAATATTACGAGTATTGATACTGCTGTTATTGGTGCTATAACACACACACAACACACACACACACACACACACACACCACCACACACACACACACACACACACACACATATATATATATATATATATATATATATATTATATATATAATTATATTATATATATATATATATATTTCTTTCAACACACCGGCCGTGTCCCACCGAGGCGAGGTGGCCCAAAAGAAAAAAACAAAGTTTCTCCTTTCAAATTTAGTAATATGTACAGGAGAAGGGGTTACTAGCCCCTTGCTCCCGGCATTTTAGTCGCCTCTTACAACACGCATGGCCTACGGAGGAAGAATTCTGTTCCACTTCCCCATGGAGATAAGAGGAAATAAACAAGAACAAGAACTAGAAAGAAAATAGAAGAAAACCCAGAGGGTATGTATATATATGCTTGTACATGTATGTGTAGTGTGACCTGAGTGTAAGTAGAAGTAGCAAGACGTACCTGAAATTTTGCATGTTCATGAGACAGAAAAAAGGACACCAGCAATCCTACCATCATGTAAAAACAATTACAGGCTTTCGTTTTACACTCACTTGGCAGGACGGTAGTACCTCCCTGGGCGGTTGCTGTCTACCAACCTACTATATATATATATATATATATATATATATATATATATATATATATATATATATATATATATATATATATATAAGGGAATGTTTATTGCGCAATATTTATAACATAATTTCTCTGAGATGATAATGTCTTTAGACACATTACTAATTACTTGACCTGTTGTATTAGTTACTGGTTGTCAGAGGCACTTGTCGATATTGTGTGTGAGAGAGTGTCTGAATAACTCACAGTCGTAAGTTAAAGTGTTAATGGTGATATTTTTTTAAGCAAACATGTAATATTAATATTTTAAAAAGTATCGGTCTGGTTTTAACCGATACCAATACCGTAAAAGTGGCTGATATCGATACTTTGGCATTTCCCCCTACTATAGATATACTCCTTAAGGTTAGTCCAAACTGTCAAAACAGGTAAAGTTGCTGCTAATCAACTTAAATATAAGTAAAACACAAATACACAAAAAAAATAGACAAAGAAAATGTTAATTTATTTTTGTGGTGTTGAAGGCAGGGTGAGCATACATACACTTTGAACGTTAAACGTTACTACACAACGCAAAATGAGGACGGGCTGCTTAGAGCAGCCGTTTGGTAGTATGGCCAGAGGAGCAGAGGAAGATGACACTGACCCGCGGCCACGGAGGATGAGTGCGTCCTGGTTATCGAAGAGCGTGCCGTGGGTGATGAGCACCATAGAGGTGTAGGCGACGCAAACAGCGCCGAGCAAGAGCAGTTTGATGATGCTGAACATGAGCTGGTACACGGCACATGACAACATCACCAGCAACACGCAGTAGGTGAAGTACTGTACAGGAAGACCACGCTTTTAAACTTTGAGAGCATTGTCGTCCTGGCCTTAAGAATGTCGACAATATACCATAAAGTCAGTTCTGCGAGTTTTTAAAAGAACTATACCACTTGTTCAAGAAAATGAATAGCTAGTGATATACAGTACACATGAAGTCTCAAGTCACAAAGAGTCAGGACCTCCTGGACAGTGTTGTTAAAATGGTATAGGCGCAAATTCTCAACAGGGGTAATGAATGTTTGAAAGAGCTACAGTATTACAAAAAATAGCAAAATCTGCATACTCACAAAACAAAATTCGTTGTGATTATAGACATGTATGAATTAACATTAAAAACATAAGTAAAAGTGCTTATATACAACATTATTAAAATTCAAACAGGCGAAATGTGAGCACATTGTATACAAAATACTACATCAGCTCTGGGCACCGATACTCACATCAGGAAAATGTGTGGTAGTGCCCTCGTGACATAAGTTGACCTCGTCTCCCAGAGTAACGTTAAACTGGTCCAGTATTGGCGTGACCTTGGGTGCCTGTATGGTAAGGGTGTCAGACACAACCCACCACTCCTCTGTAATGTTGGGGTCACCCCAGGTGAGGTTGGAGGAGTTCTCACTGGCTTGTAGGAAGCAATCTCGGTAGCTGTCCAGGTCAAGCAAGAACTGTGGGATAGCCATCACTTGAATCACTAACAGAACTTATTAACCATGCCACATGTAAACACATGGTAAGATTTTATTTCTCAACTCAAGGATTTAGGATATTCTTCTCGAGGGTTTAAAGTGGGTTTAAAACTAGTCTATTTAAGTGTCACTTAAATGTTGATTATATATTTTCAATGGTTAGATATAATTTGGTTAATGGTTAAGATAGTCTAATTGTTAAAAGCAGGTTTTAGACTAAGCTAGACAATTCGAAAGCATTAAAAGTAAGTTTACTCATGGGTTACAAGTGTTTAAGCTTGTGTACTCAGGTTTGAAGGTGCTTCACTGTTCCTCTCAAAAGCTAAGCTGCTACACTGAATGGACCACGCAGACTGAATCTTACTTCATTTTTGGAATAACTAAGGTGAATAATTAGGCTCTACCTTCACTGTTTAAGACTTTATGTTAGTGGCAAAAAGTTATTAGCAATGCATAAAAAACAAAAAGGCACAATACCATGACTGGAACAATACACAAATAACCCGCACATTTGTGTGCAGGTTATTTGTATTAGCAATACAGCCATTGCACAATGGGTGTGATGGGGCAAAATGTAGTTTAATCCCTATTTTAGGTATAAAAGTATCCCTGACTGGTGGTGACCAGCTTACATGCAACCTTCATGGTCCTTGTGTAATCGAGAGGCTTATTACCAAGAAAGGGCGAGTGATCGTCAAATGCTGAGTGGTTATCACCGAGGAAGGATATTCTAAGGAAAAAAGAAGAGAAGGTTAGATAGAATGGCGTGTTTTCCTGTTTGAGGCGATTTGGTTTGAGTGAGGTGGTACCTTATTTAAAGTAAGTTAGGGAAATATCCTGGGTAATTTGTGATGTGATTAGGGTGTCTTGTGAGGGCATGTTTAGGAGAGTAACTGGTGTAGTGTTTCGAATTAAAGGACATCCTGATTTTTTCCTTAAGGGTATACGCTAAATATGTTTTACTTGGTGAGGGAGGAAGGATATCTTAGTGATGTGTGTCCTTGTTATGATACTGTATATTGTAAATGCTGTCAGTGGTACTACCTCAGTCTAGTGCCGTTCCTTTCTTGAGTAACAATAGCCCAAATTATTGTCATACCCGACATAATTTAGTAAATGATCTCCATACCTCAAAAACTTCTGGTGATGAGGATAATCCTATTTACTTCACCTTAACCTCTTGACAAGGTATACTGAGCATGTAGTTATTACTGACTATGAAGTGATTGGTGTCGCAGAGGAGTATACAGACCATGGAGGTGACTGAAGGTGTTCCAGGGAGGTATACTGACTCTGGAGGTGATCGAGGATGCCACAGGATGTATAGTGGTCACAGAGGAGACTGATGATATCCCAGAGAGGCATACTTACCATGGAGGTAATGGAGCAGAGAAAGAGCACCAGCACTAGGAGGGAGGCGATCATTTGGCTGACAGTGCGGCTGTTGGCCACTACGGAACTCATCCGTGACAAGCACCCCGGCATGCACTGTCCAGGGTACGGAGGCTGGGATTATCATGGTGTTGCTGGCAATGATAATTGGAATGATGACTGTGATTGTTAATATAATGATTATGATATTAAAGATGGTAATTTTGAGTTTTATGAACGAAATGGCAATGCCAATAGAAGTTATGCTGATTAGAGCTCTCGCTATTAGGCACTGGCAAATATGTTGTGAAAATAATCTCTCATTCGGTGATAGCATCTTTTTTTAACTTGCATGCTACTATGTGGTCGACATTATGGTGTCCGGAAATGCTGCTCTACGTCTAATTAGTTGAACCGCTCCATTATGTAACAAGTCACTGGACGAAACCAATGTCAACTGCATGTTTACTGGTACCTTTGGCCGGGCATGACACTAAATTCTGGTTAAACTACAAGTAATAGAAATCATTGGTTCCATTTTACTTTTAACAATTGATCTTCGAAACACATCTCTTAGGTTATTTTTTAACGGAGCAGAATTTGAAAGCAACTCATTTGGTGTCAGCATACTGTAGGAAGGTGTACTAGGTTCATTGTAATGAAATGTCTGTTTCATTGATCTAACTTAACTAATCAGTAAATCTTATGCCTATGCATAATTATATTAACCTTTACCAAAGACAGATGAGTACTGCCCTTAGTCAATCGCCAACTTTCATCTATTTGCTTGGGGGCAGGCAACGTCAGGTTTCCTGTTCTACTGCAAAAAAAATGATGGTTTCTACATGTTCTACTATAACGTTTCTTCTGGGACTGCCATTAAGGCAGTAAAAAATCTTACACTTGCTAATGTAGTACACTGTAGTATTACATCAATGTAAAGACTATAAAATCACTATACTGAAGCTGAAACAGTTCACAAATAACTCGCACTTGTCATTACATCAATGGTATACAATACTGGTAAGTTGATGTATTAGACACATGTCGGTATTGTTTACCACTGATGTAATGATACTTGTCAAACTCAACACCACCATGGAATCTTGGTACAGAGAACATCACAACCTACTTGCTGACTTCTGTCCCAACTCTTGGGCATGATTTACTGCCATTAGGTGGAACCCGCTTACCTTTGACAATTACTTCATTTGCTACATCTAATTTGACTATAATGTATAAGCGTCTGTTTTCCTGTCTGTGCTTCAGATCCATGAAGACTCCTAGGCTGAGGGAGTGATTATCTCATCTTCTACTGTTTTCTGTATATAGTTTTGCAAGGCTGTTAACCTCATCTTCTACAGTCTTCCGTTTATGTCCTTACACTGAATTAATAAAACCATTGGTTGGCGAAATGTATACAAAATAAAGAAATCCAAGTGTTGCACATGTGTCATATTCATTGGGGGGCTCCTTGGCGTGGTGAAGAGGCTCTTGGTCTGAGGAATTAGCCCTGTCGGTCTTCTTCCTCAGACCAAACCTAATTACCCCCCCATTCTCCCCTCCGCTATCCCATCCTCCCCATCCTCCCCTTTTTCCATTCCTCCTCCTCCTCCCCACCCCTCCCTTTTGCCCTTCCTCTTTTTGGCCTTTGGGATTTCTCCCACAGGCGCGCTAGTTCCTAGGTAGGGGAAAGGACACTGGGGTCCATCCCATTCCGTTGAGGTTCTTGGCGGTGGCGTAGTTTGCCGTGGAATCTGGATTGCCTGGGGATGTCCTGATCCCTCTCCGGTATCCCGGAGTACCTTTGGGTGTCTTTCGGGCGACGGGTGTATCTCAGGAAGCCACCTTTCGGATTCCGGGGGTGGTGGCCGAAGGAGGTATGCTTTGTGGCGGATATCCGGCCGCCCTCTCTTTTGTCCACCGAGGTAGCTCGGCAGATGTGAGATTGCTATCCCGGATTGCTGGTTTACTGGCATGAAGGGTAGGGTATGGCATGGGTTCCATGCTGCATCTGCGCTACTAGCAGTGCTGAGGTCCTCTTGGGCGCAGAGGGAGATTTCCGGCCCTTTCATTCCTCCTGGGAACTATTCCTCCCCGCTCCCCCTTTTTTTATTCTTTTTTTTTATTTTTATTTTATTTTCTTCTTTCTTTTTTTTCTAAAAACAAAAAGCAAAGGTAGTAACCTAACCATGGCACGCCTAGTCCATGAACCCACTACCCCCGGGCCCCTTCTTGATACCGCACCCCATTCTGACCCTGCCGTGTGTTTAGACCACTCTTCGGACACTCCTGATGCCCCTGTACCTCTTGCTGGTGCTGTTTCCTCACCCGCTTCAGGTACCGGGGCTTCGACTGACTCCTTCGATTTGTCTGAACTCCGCTCTCCTTTGACTATGCTTCCGGCTTCTCCCTCTACGGTACGTCAATTTTCGAATCGCCCGCCCATTTCACGCCGGACCAACTCTGGTCCTACTCCTAAACGCCAACGTCAATCTTCTGATGATGCTCCTTCGTTACCTTCCCATTCTACTCGGAAAAGACCGACACGTTAAGCACTCCCTCCACACAATGGACTAAATTCTTTACTTTAAGACCGACTTCTTCTTCTGCCTACCTTTCTGACCATAGTATTGGCAAAGCGCTCCTGCATCATGTTGGTAGAGATATTTCATTTCATGCTCTCAAGAGCGGTATGCGCATCGTCACTGTTCAGAATGCTATCCAAGCTCATGATCTTTCTCTTCTTTCAAATATCGATACTACTCCTATCACTATTGAAAAACATCTTTCTCTCAATTCTTGTAGTGGTACTGTCATTCTGCCCCATACCATAGTCCAACAGAATTTCCAGTCATGTGGTAATGACATTTTTGAACAGCTGGAACTCCAGGATCTCCCAATCCTCAAAGTAGACACTTATGTCCTTCCTGCCCGGGGGCAGAGACGTTACCCTTGCAATGTGGCTCATTTAACTTTTGACAGCCGAGAACTCCCATCCTCTGTATATGTCGCGGGACATCGGTTACAAGTTCGAAAGGTGATACCTACACCGCAACAATGTAGAAATTGCTGGCGTTTTGGTCACCCAGCGAAATATTGCAGATGGCCGAATGCCCAGCCTGTGGTGCCGACGACCATTCTAATACATCTTGCAGTCAACCTCCATCTTGCCTTAATTGTAATGAAGCTCACCCTTCGTACTCCCGCCGTTGCCAGGTCTACTTAAATGTACGTGAAATCCGTTGCCTCAAAGAGGCAGAAGGTCTCCCTTATGCTATTGCAGTTACTCATCTCCGCCTCCAAGGGAGACTACCCCGTGTTTCTTATTCTCGTGTTTCCAAACATCCCCCCACTTCTGGGGTCCCATCTTCTGCAGCCTCCTCTGTTGTTACCCCTCCCATAGCCACTACGGCATCTAATCCTTTTGCTGTCCTTGGCTCTGACATCCCGACTACAACTCAGTCTGTTCTCACATCTACGAGTCCTTCCTCACAAGCCCCAGTATCGACAAGACCTCGTACGACACTATACCAATCACCCTCTACTCAGAAGTCCAAAAAATCCACATTGCTCAAATCTTCTTTGCCCCTTCCTTCCCTTCTTCCACCTCCACACTTTACCTTTCCAGTCTCTGTACCTAGTTCTTCCCCTCTCTCTAGCTCTATTACAAGTGTGGAGATTCACCCTCCTCCTCGTACTATGCCTTCTACCCCCGTCCCCTCCCAAGTTTCTCCCTCTTCTGCCACCTCCCAGGTTTCTGCCTCTTCTGTCCCCCCCCCACACTTCATCTCCAGTCCCTTACACTCTTCCTTCCCCCTCTACTTTGGTACAGTCCATTACTGTCCCAATCTTTACTCACCCTCCTTCTATCTCCAATATGGTCTCCCATACATCTTTGAATTCAGAAACACTTGAAACCATTTCAGAATATATTGCAGAGACTAAACCTTCAATGGACACTGATTCACTTCCTGTTCCTTCTCTTCCCTCTCCTCCATCTTCACAACCCCATTCTTCGCAACGCTCAGTTCCTTCGCTACTTGAACGTCTTCCAATGCCACCACACGTTGACTTTTCTAACCCCTCTAGTCTGTAGGTGCCTTTACCTACAGATTCCTGGTATTTTCTTCATCGCCAATCATGGCCTATTTACAGTGGAATATCCGCGGCCTCAGGGGTAATCGGGGTGAGCTTCAGATGTTGCTTTCCAGGTTTTCCCCTGTTGGTGCTTGCTTACAAGAACCAAAATTACACTCGGCTGTTTTCCAACCTATCTCAGGCTATAATTTATTGTATTCTTCGGATCCTTTCTCAGATGGGACTTTTAATGAAAGTGCCCTTCTTCTACGCAATGATATTCCGTACTGTCAACTATTTGTCCATACCTCGCTGCATTACACTGCAGCCCGTATCCACATTTTCTATCCCAGACTTTGCCTTTCTTGTTTCATCCTTACCACCACCACTTCTGTTACTTGGTGATTTTAATGCCCACCATTTCCTCTGGGGGGGGTCTCATTGTGACTCACGTGGCATCCAGTTGGAGGCTTTTCTCACCTCTCATCCCCTCCATGTTTTAAATACGGGTGCTCCCACCCATTTTGATCCTTGTACTCATACTCTCTCTTGCATCGATCTATCAGTCTGCTCTTCCTCCACTGCACTAGACTTCACCTGGTCTGTTCTACCGGACTTACATGACAGCGATAATTTTCCGATCATTCTTACTTCTCCTTCCTATTCACCACCTTTCCGTAGCCCTCGCTGGCAATTTGATCGGGCAAATTGGGATCTTTACTCACACCTCACTGCTTTTAGTGAGGTTCCTTCTTCATCCTCCATTGATGAGCTCCTACACATCTTCTCGACGTCAGTTTATACCGCAGCTTCTCATTCTATACCCCAAACCTCAGGCAGGCATTCTCAGAAGTGCGTGCCTTGGTGGTCTCCTGCTTGTGCTCGTGCAGTACGTTTGAAACGTGCTGCATGGGGCAGGTACCGGTACAATAGAACCTCTGAGAGACTTCTTGATTTTAAGCAGAAGCGTGCGATCGCTCGCCATGTCATCCGTGAAGCTAAACACACTTGTTGGCGAGACTATGTTTCCACCATCACCTCTTCTTCTTCTATGAGTGCAGTCTGGAAAAAAGTGAGGAAATTGAGTGGTAAATACTCTCCTGACCCGGCTCCTGTTCTACGGGTCGCTGGTGTTGATGTAGCAAACCCTCTCGACGTTGCCATCGAACTTGGCACACATCTGGTCCGTATTTCCCGAGGGCTCCATCTATGCCCCTCGTTTCTTTCCTCAAAGTCTGCCAGAGAGTTAGTACCCTTGGACTTTTCTTCTCTTAGAGAAGAACGGTATAATGTGCCTTTTACACTTCAAGAACTGGAGGCAACACTCTCAGCTTGCCGATCATCGGCAGCTGGGCCTGACGACATTCATATTCGTATGTTACAACATTTACATTGGTCAGCCCTTGTAGTCCTCTTACACCTCTTCAATCTTATTTGGGCACAAGGAGTTCTTCCCCAGCTGTGGAAATCTGCCATTGTTCTCCCTTTCCACAAACCGGGTACTACAGGACATGATGCCTCCCACTATCGCCCCATCGCTCTTACTAGTGCAGTTTGCAAAGTGATGGAACGTGTCGTAAATCGACGTTTAATGTGGTATTTAGAGACACACAACGTCTCTCCGCTAGTCATATGGCTTTCGTAAGGGTCGTTCTACCATAGACCCCTTAATACGCTTGGATACG